CAACAAATTCCGCAGCACTGTACAATGTAGAAAAGTACATTGCTAGGATAGTTTTTACTGAGGGCATAGAGTTGTTTTGATGACAGTTGCAGGGGAGGAATCAGGGTGCGGGAAGAGAAAGCTGTTTACAGTTTAATTGATATGCTTTCCTAAAGAAGTACGTTTTCAAAGATTTTTTGCTGGAGTGGAGACTGAGTGAAAGTCTAACAGAGATGGTAAGGGCATTCCATAGGAAGGGTGCAGCCCTAGATAAATCTTTAAGGTGAGCATCAGAGGTAGGAGTACGAACAGAGGTTAGAAGTAGGTCTCTGGCAGAGCGTAGGGGCCTAGATGGGACATATTTGTGTATTAGTGAGGAGAACTAGGTTGTTACAGCATTGTGTAGAGATTTGTAAGCAAGTATCAGGATTTTAAATTGAGTCCTATATTTTACGGGAAGTCAATGAAGGGACTTACCGAGGGGGTAGGTGTGGAAGGTGCGGGCGGACAGGTAGATGAGCCTCGCCGCCGCATTCATTGTAGACTATAACGAGGCAAGTTGGGAACATGTAAGACCACTAAGAAGCGAATTACAGTAGCCAAGGTGAGAGAGGACAGCGGCATGGACAAGCACCTTAGCTATATCAAGTGTTAAATAGGGTCGAATACGCGCTATGTTTTTGAGATGGAAGCAGCAGAATTTGGTGATTGAGTGAACATGAGGGGTGAATGAGAGGTCAGAATTAAAGAGAACACATAGGCAGCGAGCCTGCAAGGTAGAGCGGATAGTAGCGCCATTGACTTGGAGGGAAACAGACAAGAGAGTAGCAACATTTGAGGAAGGGAAGACCAGATGTTCTGTTTTTGGCAAGTTTAAGGAAATGAGCAGCCATCTAGTTGGAAATAGCAGAGAGGCAATCAGAGACCCGAGTCAAAAGGGGTGGTGAGAAATCAAGGAGAGACAGACAAATTTGCGTGCCTTTCTCATAGAAATGATACTGGAAGCTGAAGGAGCTGATTAGTTTACCAAGGGAAGCAGTGTAAATTGAGAACAATAGGGGACCAAGGACAGACCCTTGGGGAACACCAACTAAGAGAGAGATTGTGGAGAAGAGGCAGAGCTAGAGAAAGAAACACTGAAAGAATGTTGGGAGAGGTAGGAAGAGCACCAGGAGAGAGTGGTATCTCGTAGACTGAGATTACGGAGGATGAGCAGAAGCTGTGGATGATCAACAGTGTCAAAAGCAGCAGAAAGGTTGAGGAGAATTAAGATAGAGTAGTGTCCATGGGATTTTGCAGTGATAAGATCATTGGATACTTTGTTCACAGCTGTTTCAACAGAGTGACGAGCACGGAATCCAGATTGAAGCGCGTCAAGCAGATTGGATATGAAGAAGTCTGTCAATCTCGTATACACAACTCTCTCAAGGAACTTGGAGGCAAACGGCAGTAGTGAGATAGGGCGGTAGCTGGATGGGGAATTAGGGTCAAGAATCGGGGTAACGGTTGCATGTTTGAAGGGTAGAGAAAATGTGCCAGAGGAAAGGGAGAGATTGAACATTTTAGTAAAAGGCAGAGCAAGAGAAGGAGACAAAGTGCGGATGAGATATGAGGGAATATGATTGAGGGAACAGGTAATGGAGCGGTAGGAATGGAGCAGAGCAGAAACCTCTTCTGTTGTAGCAGGTGCAAATGAGCAGAGTACAGCTGAGGGATTGTGGTTAGGGGAAAAGTTGGTAGTGAATGGAGAGAGATGAGAGATCTCTTTCCTGAGTGCAGAGATCTTCTCAGTGAAGTGAGTTGTAAAGTTTGTAGCGGTCAAGTTGGTAACCAAAACATGTCACAAAATATACAGGAAAATATAATAGCATAATAACATATTTATAAAGGGATGACAAGGGAAAACAAAATATCTCTCCTGTCTGCATAATTAGCAATATGCAAATCTACCTGAATATGCAAATTAACAAGCCTTTCTACTCAGGTAGAGTATATTGCTGTTGCTACCAACAGGTGGTGCTCTACAGACTCCAAAGCCAAATACACCTACTTTGTAGTAAGCATCAGTAGGACAGGAGAGCACACAAAACATATAGCAATAAAACAACAATACACACACTGCACCTATTATGGGTACAGGGTAATGGCATAGTCCAGGGTCCTACATAAAGTGAACGTATGAAACTCCACGTGATGGTGACTACAGTCACAACCAATTAATGATTTCAAACTTTTTATCACAGACAACATGTTTGTTCATATGGCCTAAGGGGAATTCAAGTATGTAACCTCTCCCCCCCCCCACAAATTAAAGTTAAATGGTCAGCATTTGTGATAAATTGGCTTTACCAAACAACTTAAAATGCCATATTTTAAATACCCTGGGTTATCTCCTTTGGAATACAGTAAGTAATATGGGTAATTTTCTTTCCAGAGCTACCATAATGACTCTGAGGTAGCATAGGGATTAAAACTGAAAAAGGCAGGCCTCATATTTTGACCTGTACCTATGTATGTTTGGAGTGTTATATTGCAGTAAAGCATATAAGGATAATGATATAAACACATAAAAATGAACTCTTAATTTGGTCAGGTTTTGTAAATAAGAGGCTACAAAAAAAAAGGCTAGTCATTCCCTATTTGGAATATCCTGGGTTGTCTACTATTGGAAACGGAACGAACCATTATGGGGGTCATTTTTTTATATTTTTTTTTTGTCTTCCATGTATGAAGCGAAATGAGCATACGCCATGTTTGGCCCTGCAACTTCTAAAAACCTCATAAAACCTATATATTGGGTGCATTTCTGTACTCTTAAGACATCACAGAATACAAATACTTGTTTTACTGCACTAAAAGCAGTTTTATGATATTCACAGTAAACCAGTCTGGGAAAAAAATTAAATGTCTTAATTTCTCACACTTATTTAGGTTCATTTTAAATTAGGTTTCATATATAAATATGTGATGTCAAAAGAAAGCTCTGTTTCTTGAGAAAATTATATATAATAAGTAGAGTTGAGCGGACACCTGGATGTTCGGGTCCAGCGGGTTCGGCCGAACTTTGAAAAAAAGTCCGGGTTCAGGCTCGAATTCGACCCCGAACCCTATTGAAGTCAATGGGGACCCGAACTTTTGGCCACAAAAATGCCTCTAAAAAAGTCCTGGAAAGGGCTAGAGGGCTGCAAAAGGAAGTAAAATGGGGGTAAGAGTAGGACAAGTGCCCTGCAAACAAATTTGGATAGGGACATCTCTTAAAATAACATAAAAATACAGCTGAGCCATAAAATAGCACTAGATGGAATCTTTGATTTTAGCTTTGGAAGAACATAAATCAAAATCTAAAGCATGGCTGTCAAGGGGATCACCAGAATTATCCATTTGAGAGAGGGTTGGCGTACAGGGTATTCTCTTTCATTGTTCAAACTGAGCTCAACTCCTGATCCATGGAGAAAAGGCCTTCACAAGCCTCTGCTATTGTGTACATAGTTTATACTACGTGACCCATAGGTTGAGGAAGCGGTGACCGTGGTGGTGTAGGTGGAAGCAGCAGTGGAGGAGGAGGAGGTAGCCAACACTGTTTTTTATTTATTATTTTTTAAATTAATTTTTTTTTTTTTTTATTGGGGCAAAGTATTGGGACATATAAAAAAAGAAACATTTGCGGCCTGCGGTGCATTTATTGCAGTCCTGATGCATGGAGAAATGCTCAACTCCTGATGCATGGAGAAAAGGCCTTCACAAGCCTCTGCTATTGTGTACATAGTTTATACTAAGTGACCCATAGGTTGAGGAGGCGGTGACCATGGCGGTGTAGGTGGAAGCGGCGGTGGAGGAGGTAGCCAACGCTGTTTTTTATGTTTGTTTGTTTGTTTGTTTTTTGTTGTTTTTTTTTAAATTGGGGTAGCCTCCAAAATATTGGGATTTGGAACATATAAAAAAAGAAACATTTGCAGTCTGTGGTGCATTTCAAGCCAGGACTGCAAGAAATGCACCACAGGCTGCAAATGTTTCTTTTTTTATATGTTCCAAATCCCAATATTTTGGAGGCTACCCCAATTTAAAAAAAAACAACAAAAAAACATGGAGAAAAGCATGGAGAAATGCTCAACTCCTGATGCATGGAGAAAAGGCCTTCACAAGCCTCTGCTATTGTGTACATAGTTTATACTAAGTGACACATAGGTTGAGGAGGCGGTGACCGTGGCGGTGTAGGTGGATGCAGCGGTGGAGGAGGAGGAGGTAGCCAACACTGTTTTTTATATATATATATATATTTTTTTTTTATTTGGGTAGCCCCCAAAATATTGGGACATATAAAAAAGACAACTCTGTTCCGCAGAGCAACTGACCCATGCGTGCTGCAGCTGAAACTCCACTATCACCTGCTGCTGCTCGCACAGTTTCATGATGCGGTGAGCGGGAAGGCTGAAGTTACGCTACAGTGCAGACAGGCGAGCAGCAGCAGGAGATGAGGAGGAAGTGCGCAATGAGGTGTAACGGCGCCTGGCATATTACCGAGAGCCACCCTCAGAGGAGATTGTCAGCAGGACCTTTTTGGAGGTGTAAGCCTATGTCCTTGCCAATAGACAAAGGGTGACCTCCAAGAACCCAGATGAAGGAAGAAGGGAGCAGAGGGCACCGGGAATCACAACCACCCTGGCCCACAAGCTACCATACAATGCCTTCAAAGACTTCAAGGAAGCAGAAGAAGGCATCGATGACTTTTTACAAGACTTTGAGCGCCAGTGCCTACTCCAAGATGTGGGTCACCATCCTGGCCAGCAAATTAGTTAGGAAAGCAGTGGATATTTACCGGGCTGTACCAGAAGAGCAGATCAGAGACTATCCCTTTATTACACAAATCCTCGGTCACCCCCGAGCAATACCGCTGAAAGTGTAGGGAGACCTGGAAAGGGGAGAAGGACTCCCATGCAGAGTGGGCATGCCGCATCACAAGGGCCACCACGAACTGGCTCAACTCCCATCAAGTCAAGTTCCCAGAGGAGATCACCCAGCTCGTCATGCTAGAGTACGTTTTCAATGGGCTCCCCAACGACAAGGCGACGACGCATTCGTATGTCATTCATATCAACTTTCGATGCCATTTACTGTGCCTACCATGGTGACCAAGAGTAACGGGGAATCAGGGTTCAGTTCCTGAGAGGGAGCCTGAGAAATGGCTACCACATGCCAGGAAGGCAGCAGGCACGCAAATGACACACTCCCGACGCGCAGTGGCGTACTAAGGGGGGGGGGCGGAGGGTGCGGTCTGCCCCGGGTGCACGCAGGGTGGGGGGTGCCATGGGAGGGGGCACTGCCCCCCCCCATGCTGCAGCCGCCCGAGCGCTCTGTAGAGCCCTCATGGACACACCGCCCGCGCAGCATGAGGAGAGGGGCTGACAGGAGGGAAGCGCTCAGCGCTCCCTCCTGTCACTCCCTCTGCTGTAGCGTGGCCGAGCCCAGTATAGTCCGCGGGTACAGGGAGCATCTGTCTCCTGTACCCGACCAGACTAACAGGAAGTGCACACTCAGTACAGGGAGATTTTGTTTCCTGTACCCGGCCGGACTAACAGGAAGTGCACACTCAGAAACAAAAGCTCCCAGTACCCGCGGACTATACTGGGCTCGGCCACGCTACAACAGTGGTAGGGGGGAGGGAAGAAAGAAATTAGGAGGAGGTGGGGGGG